ACACACACACACACACACACACACACACACACACACACAGCTTTTCCCATATATGGCCACATTATTCTTTAGTCTTTGAAAAGGCCAAATGAAGAGATGGCCAACAACCAAAATAATCCTTCAGACATCTGAAAAGGAGGAGAGAGGACTAGAAGGGTTGGTGAATGACAAACGATTGCCAGGCTCAATGGGGATAAATAACACCAAGAGGGATTAGTTGCCATAGTGTCTGAAAAACATGGGCACATGCATTTTGACACGGGCCTCTTCTCTAGAGAGACTGTTTTGCCCTATGGCCTCAGCACTGAGAAAACTACAACTGCAGTAATTTAACATAAAGGGCTTAAAGAAGGAAACCAGTGCAGGGGCATGACTGAAAATTTAATTAAGGCCCTTCTCAGCACAAAAATCTGTAAAAGAGATGAGGGCACAGCTCGAGGTCAGAAGAGGGGGTGGGGGAAACATGGGAAAGATCTGAATGAGATATGAGAACATAAATAGCAGAGGTCAGCCCTGCAGGTCAGTGGCCTTGTGATAGATGGCTGTTACAGTGTCTGTTGGGTCTTGCTGGAAAGGTTTCTCTATAGAAGGCTCATGTCAAACAAAGGCCACCTTGTGTGAGTCAGGGGGAAACGTCACATTTTCCCAGTGTCTTATGCTTTATAGGCCATGTCAGATGCACCCCTGGACACAAGGTGAAGCATCTGATTAATTGATAGGAAAATGAAGGCTCAGGGATGTTAAGAGACCTAACGACAGGCCTTCTGTGGGTGGCATTGTGCAAGAACACTGGAGTAGAGACTGCAAGCTAAGTCCCACAATGTGTGGGCTTGCTTTTTTGGTGGGGGGAGGTACTGGGGATTGAACCCAGGGGTGCTTCACCACTGGGCTGCATCCCCAGTCTTTTTATTTTAAGACAGGATCTATCTCCCTAGAGTTGCTGAGCCTGGCCTTAAACTTGCAACCCTCTTGCCTCAGCCTCCCAGGTTGCTGGGATGACAGGTGTGTGCCACCATGCTTGGCTTGGACCAGGGCTCTTTCTACCCACAAAATCTTCAAAGAACACTGGTCAGACTGCCAGGTTTGGGTTTATTTATTTATTTATTGGGGTACTGCGGATGAACTCAGGGGCACTCAACCACTGAACCACATTTGCAGCCCTATTTTGTATTTTTTTTTAAAGAGAGAGGGAGAAAGTCAGAATTTTTTAATATTTATTTATTCATTTTTTTTTTTTTTTTTTTAGTTTTCGGTGGACACAACATCTTTGTTTGTATGTGGTGCTGAGGATCGAACCTGGGCCGCATGCATGCCAGGTGAGGGCACTACCACTTGAGCCACATCCCCAGCCCCCTATTTTGTATTTTATTTAGAGACAGGGTCTCCATTGAGCTGCTTAGGGCCTCACTTTTGCTGAAGTTGGCTTTGAACTCGCGATCCTCCTGCCTCAGCCTCCTGAGTCACTGGTATTATAGGAGTACATTACCATGCCCAGCCAGGTTTGAATTTAGATTGCAGCTCATTCACTAACTCTGTCAGTGACCATAGACAGGTCATTTCTCCTCTTCTGATTCTAATCCACAGTTGGAAAATAATAGAGCTGGCCTTGATAGGAGGTGGGTATTTGAGGGGAAGAGAGAAGCACACATGAACCAAGTGAGTCTCTCCTTGCACATCAAATTGGTGGGCACTGTCACCAGTGCACTGAAAGGAGGCAGACTGCAAGTTACTACTGAACCACAACATGAACACCAGGGGAATGATTTTCCAAAGGAGAAGACCAGAAAGCCTCTTCATTCCTCCAAGAAAAGGGTCATGGAAACAAATGAAACAGCAACATCAATGCTAAGTATTCATCCTACAGCTTCATTCTTTTTCCTTCCTAAGGGAATAGGCCTTCCTTATGATGTTTTGGCTTATATTTCTGAAAAGACATCCTTTTTTTGGTGACACTACATACTTCCAGCGGTTTTCCCAGGCTTGCCCATAAAGGCTGTCTATTTGGGTAAGTAGTCAATACTAATAATGCCCAAATAGCAGGCATCATTTGCTGAGAGCCCTCAATACACTTTATCGCTGAGCCCTGTCAATCTACTGTCCCTGGTCTTTTCAGCTACCAGATGAGGCAGGTATATTTTAAAATAGGAGAACTTGGGGCTTGGGTAGAAGCTCAGTGGCAGAACACTTGCCTAGCACATGTAAGGTACTGGGTTCGATCCTCAGCACCACATAAAAATAAATAAATAAAATAAAGTATTATTTCCATCGGTAACTAAAAAAATATATTAAAAAAAAGAGAAAGTGAGAATTAAGACTTCAAGAAGTTTCATGAATTGGTCAAGGAAGGCCACCTTCATAACTGCAGTACTGGGATTTAAACCACTGGGTGATTCCAAAGCCTGTTGTTTCTTTTCCTACTCTGTGATGAGGACTCTAGTCAGCATGCCAAATGCATCGAAGAGTCTGAGTAATGCTGATGCTGCTTTTTCCTGATTTCTTTTCACTGGCATACTGCAGGAGTATATTTGGGGGAGGGTGTCATAAAATTCCCCCACTGACAGCCCAGCTGTGGGATAAGCGGGCTGAGATGGTGGAATGGTAAAAGGACTCCCATGTGTTCCCCTTGCACCAAAGGGATCAGGTCTAGAATCCTGATTTCATTTCCGGATCACTAACCTGGTGAGGTACAAGCCCAAGAGAGGTTGGAGGCTCATTCATGCGATCATCACTGCTGCTGGCAATGGCGTAGCCCCTGGGGACAGGAAACAATTAGAACTGTTCAGTTAACCAGAATTTATGGTGGACACTTAGAGATGATGCAGGAGGGAGGGATGTTCATGTAAGGTTCATGAAAGTAACCAAAGCGCTTGCTGAGCAGCACAAGCTAGCAAAAACCTCTTTTCCCTAGGGAGAGAAGGAAAGAGAGTAATAAAAAAAAAAAAAAAAAAAAAAAAGCACGCTTGGTTTGAAGTTGGAAAGACCAGAGCATGTGACCACCATGCAAGTTATTTAGCTTCTGTGTGCTTCAGGTCCACTGTCTACAAGGTAGGAATAAGGAGACTGTGATGAATAAATTAGGAGCATTTTAGATAAACTGCCAAGCACAACGCTTTGTTTGTGATAAGCTTATAAGCATAAATTCCTTACTCTGAGATAGTCCTTATAAAACACCACAGAACATTTTTGTATTGAAATTTTAAAGTGGAAAACTTTCTAACTTTAATTTCACTTTTTTCTTTCTTCTTTTTATTTGTTCTTTCTTTTCTTAAAGAGATGGGGCTCTCACTTTGTTGCCCAGTCTGGCCTTAAACTCCTGGTCCCAAAAAATCCTTCTGTCTCAGCCTCCAGAGTAGCTGGGACCACAGGAGCACCACTGTGTCTGGCTTAGCTCTGGAAGATGTTATCCCAAATACTTCTTCCCATAAGGCAGCAATAAACATAAACAGCAGGGATAGCTAAGGCAGATGACAAACACGAGAGGACTAAAAAGCTGCCTACTTCCATTTAACTCCAGGACTTCTATACTAGTTACATACGGCAACAAAACTGTACAGAGGCCATCTTTTCAACTGTGCAGACAACCTCTAAGTCACAAAATGAATAGAAAATTCTTTCAAATTTGTGTTGACTTTCTGAGAACTAAATCTTAAATTTCTGAAAGATAAACCTTAAAAAAAAGATTTTTGCTTCTTTTCTTCTTGTATTGCGTTACCACCTGGTTTAAGGACAAACATCCAGAGGCTGCAGAGTGCCAGATAAGCACCCACTAAACAGGAGGCAGCGGGAGAGGCAGTCTGAGAAGAGAGGACAGCACTGCACGGTGATCAAAACACTCTGGAGCCACACTGGCTGAACCAAATCCTGGCTGAGCCACCTATTAGATATCCAAATTTTAGCCACTTGGTTATTCTCCCTGTGCCTCAGTTTCCCCATCAAAAATAGGACAAATAATCATTGTTCTTTCCTAATAGGTTTACTACGAGGATTAAATGGGTTCATATTTGTCAAGTGCTTAGAACAGTGCCTAGCAGAAAACGAGCACCAAATCATTATTTGAAAAATAAATCAATCATAATTCATCTGTAACGGAGTCAGGTGTGGATACCCGATTGACATCAGTCTGGCTTGTCTCTGACCCTGACAGCACAATCACAAGCACGTACTGAGAGATCTTAAATTTCTATATTTCTTTTTGCTTCCTTTCCTTTTCTCTCCTCTTCATTAATTCTGTTTTTTTTAAATGACTGACTCTATTTTTAAAATTAATTTTTGTCTCATTGTGTTTAAGGCAAAAAGAATTCTGCTGTTTGTAAGCAAGACCTTTTCCTTGCTTGGAGAAGATAAGGTGTCCAGGTCACAATTGTATGAATTTTTTTACGTGGAATATAACACACATACAATGTGTTCAACGTATAGATACTAAAAGGCCCAAGGCCAAGTTAAACAAAAGCCACAAGCTCACTCACTTCTTTCTTCTCTCATATAAGCCTGGAACACTATGAGTCATAATAAATTTAAAAGTATTTTTAAACTGATGTGACACTAGTGAACTAAGAGGTCATGGCCAACCCTCTCATTGAGAATAAAAGGAAAGCAGATGCTGTGGTTTGGATGTGGCTTGTCCCTGTCAAAAGTTAGGTTGAAGTGATTGCCACTGTCATGGTATCCAGGTGGTGGAGCCTTTAAGAGGTAATTAGATCATAGGGCTCCACCCTCACTAGAAGCTGGGGTAGGCTCTCTCAAAAATGGGTTAGGTCTGGCAGGAGGGAGTTTGGTTTTACAGGACTAGATTAGATACCACAAGAACAGGTTATAAAGCAAGGTCACTGCCTTGCTTTCTCTCTCAAACACATGCTCTTCTGTATGTGCCACTTTCCTCCCTCTTCTCTGCCATGCTGTGATGCAGCACAAGACGCTCATCAAAAGTCAAATGGATGCCCACACCATACTCTTGACTTCCAGGACTAGGAGCCAAAATAACTCGGTCCTTGGTATTTTGTTATAGTAACAAAAAACAGATCAAGACAGTAGACAAAATATAAAAATCTTTGTTTGAAAGAATCAGAAAGATACCCAGGTAGGTAAGAATTAGTACAAAGATTTGTGAGAAGAGAGAAGACCATAAAAGTAAAGCAGGCTTCTTAGAGAGGGATTCCCATAAAGTAACTCTCAACCTCCAAAAGCAATGACCATAGGATTACAAGTTGAATGTGACACTAATAGGCTCATGAGGCTGGAGGGGAAAACTAGACTCTGAGTTCTGCCAATAAGGAAAAATCATAAAAAATATCTTAGACATAAAGTTGGGATCACTGGGGCCTATCTCAGAGAAAAGGCGAACCAGAAAAAGACCATTCCTAAATGGATTAAGGTATTCTAAGATGGCTAGTGAACTTACCAGCAGTTTTCCAGAAGAAAATGTAAATCACATCTCTACAATTTTTATATGTCATGTCCATCGCTCAATCAAAAATAACCAAACAGGGGCTAGAGGCATAGCCAGGGGTAGAACATATGCTTTAGCAAGCACCAGGCCCTAGATATAATCCCCTGCAACATCCTCCAAATATTTAAGAAAAGGTCTTACTCAGTGGCTCAGGCTGTTCCCAAACTCTTGAGTTCAAGGGATCCTCCTGCTTCAGCTTCTCAAGTAGCTGGGACTATAAGCAGGTACCACTGCATCCAGCTTGAGAAGTCTCAATATTAATTGGGTATGTGAATACATCAAGAAATTCTTTGTTTTTACAACTAAAAACAGTAGAGATGCATACTAAAAAGATTCACTTTATAAAATGCTATATCTTGGATTTGCTTTTTTAAAAAGTCAGTAGGAAGAAGAAAAAAAGCACAGATAGCAGTGTAGATAAATGATGGCTGAACATGTGTTGGTAGATGTTAAACCAGGTGGAGTTAACAGAAGATTTAGTATATATGTTTGAATTTTCCATAATAACAACTTTTATCATTGTTGTTTTTAGAAATGGGTATATAAGAAGACAACAAATGACCAAAAGGTAGGTAGGAAAAACAACAGACAGCAGGAACAGAACCTTAGGAGATACAAACAATGGAGATATCTGCTAAAGGCTTAAAACAGGATTAAGTGTTCTCAAGGAATCAAAAAGAACAAACATCAGATCTTCAGCAAAGACTAGGAAATATATAAAATAAGATCAAATGGTAGGCTGCAATTGTGGCTCAGTGGTAGAGTGCTTACCTAGCATGTGTGAGGCCCTGGAATCCATCCTCAGCACCACATATAAATAAATAAATAGATAGATAGATAAATAAATAAGTAAATAAAATAAAGGTATTAAAAAAACCCCAATAAAGTCAAATGGCAATTCTGGCCATGAAACATCTGATAATGATATTGGTTTTACACACAGCAGACATAAAGATGAGAGAATCATAACTGGAAGACAACCAAAGGCAAAGAGCTAGACTGAAGCAAAGGAAGACAAATGATTGAAAATACAGAAGAGACCATGAAAGACACATGATTCCAACTGGTATGTAACTGGAGTCTCAAGAGAAACAAGGCAAAAGAGAATGGGAGAAGTAATTTTTCTAATATAATGGCTGAGATTTTTCCACAATAGATGAAAGGCATTAAGCCACAGGTTCATGAGGCACTAGAAAGCTCAGTCAGAAAAAATACAGAAGATGGTGTATGATGATCACACTTCTGAAAGGCAAAGGCAATAAGATCATCTTGAAGCAACTCAGGGGAGGCAAAAGGGAGCAAAGCAAATTGCTCAAATCAGCAGCAATGGGAAAAATCCTTAACTTCTCAACAGAGATAAAGGCAACCAAATACAATCCAATTATACTCTCAAATGCTGAAAGAAAATGAGTGCCAATGTAGAATTCTATAGAACATAAGAAACCCTCTTTCAAACATGAAGACAGTTTCAGACAAACAAAACCTGAAATATATTTGTCACTAGTATTTCTTTTTTCTTTTCTTTTTGGTACTGGGAATTAAATCCAGGATATGCTATACCACTGAACCACATCCCCATCTCTTCTTAGTTTTTGAGAGAGGTCTCACTAAGTTGCCTTGCTAAGTTGATAAGTCTGGCCTTGAACTTGGGATCCTCCTGACTCAGCCTTCTGAGACACTTGGATTACAGCCATGCTCCACCATGTCTGTCACTGGTATTTCTCAAAAAAAAACAAAAAAAAAAACAAACAAAAAAAACAACCCTAAAGGGAATTGTTCTTCAGGCAGATGACAAAATGCCCTACTCTGGGAGTTTGAAGATAAAGAAATGAAAAGCAACAAAAATGGGAATAAAAAAATTCTCTAAAACTAAACACCAAATATATAACCAAATATATAAATACATATATATATATATATATATATATATATATATATAAACAATATATTTGGGAACTTAAAATATGTAACATTTCAAAAAAATAAATGTGAAGATACACAGGTTGTCTGTTCAACCTCCATTCTTCTACCTTCTCACAATAATTTTATACAGAGGGGCAATTTGCTCAGCCAACAAAACAAAAGAAAACAAAACTACATTCATCAGTATTCCCGGCAACTAGGAGTTAGAATTAATAGGTTAATCTTTCAGGAAAGCTCTTTAAAAGGGGGCACACTCAGATGACCACAACATTCATCCTTTGGTCGTTTCCTTCTTCTAAATGGGCACACAGATGTAATACTGATCTCACAATATCCATCCCATAACCACAAACTGCCATGCATGAGAAAGAAAGCTAAGAGTGGCTGAGTGAATGATAAGAAGTAACTTCAGTCTCTGATGGCATAATGGAATCTTTGTACTAACCCTGGACTGCTCACCTCTGAACTTCTTGTTGCATAAGAAAGATAAAGCTCATTTGGCAAAGTTACTGAACATCTTTGTTACATATAGTTGAATACAATTTCTAACATTGGTGATTCATGTACCACCTTACAAAGGTTCAAGGATGGAAAAAATAAAAACTTACTAGCACACTAGTGTCCGAGAGTCTCTACCAAAACTTGTATTCTTCCTTATTAATAGTTGCCAAATAACTCAAGGGATATAGCCTCAAAGATCACATGGCAAGTTCTCCCTGTCCAAAGAATTGGACCAGGCTGTTTTTTTTTAAATTTGTTTGTTTGTTTGTTTATTAGTCTTGTGTTTTTGAGGACAGAAAAAATAATAAAATTCTCAGAAAAGTCAGATTAAGAATAGGTCAAGCAAGACCAAGTGCCAACAAATGCTTGCTTTGTTTAAACACCATTTCTAAATAGCAAACTCACCCTTCTGGATGCTGCAAAACAGACACCATCAATTCTACTGCCAGGGCTCCTGCAATCATGGCCAGTCCTGGACGACTCACTGTGCACTGTTGGTCCAAGGTCCGGTCTCTGGTTGACTGCAGAGAAACAATCATTGACACGTGCTGGAAGTTCTAGTCCACTCAACTCTGTTTGAGCAAGGCGCTCCTCCACGATAAAGCTTTAAAATACAACCAGATGCTCATTGTTGGCAGAGAACACCCAGCTTCAAATAACACCATTTCTGGGAGGATCAAGTTACACAAAATACACAATTCAGCTAATTCAATGAGGTAATAATTCTGAAAAGGATTAGCAGCCTCAACAATTAAAGACTGGTGATGGCAAGCAAAATGAGGGCTCTGCTGCCTCATACTGTGAATTTGCACCATGCACTCTCCTTCCACTGACTCAATTCAAATCTCTTGGGCTTGGTAGTTACATTGTGGAGACATAGAAAGGAAGAGTAATTTGGATAGGCAAGTGTCCTACCATTCTAACCAAGCTAATGCTTCTGAGTGACCCAGAGATGGAAACAGGAGTTTGCTAACTTACAAGTCTCAGTTCCACATGCCCCTTGAAATGTACACACCTCCTCACCCTTAGTGTGGTCCCAGGGCTTACCTACAAGCATTTTTGCTATAGCCTAGCCCCAAACATAAGCCTTCATTGATTCAACCAAAGAATTCTAATCTAAAAACTCTGGGCTAATTCAGGGGTGGTCAAGAAAATTTTGTCTCTGAAAATCTTACTTTCTGAATGGTCATGACTTTAGTGGAACGGACCATTCATTCTTCTTGTTGGCAATAACTAAATGACAGGACCAGCCACATATTCTCATAACATGATGGAGATCATTGAGCCATCTTCCTCACATAAGAGAAAGCTCATCTTTTCTTTATACTAGGTGGTCATAAAAGCCAGTCACACACACAAAAAAAAGATATGCATTATTAAAGAACAAGTTTTAAAAGAAGGAGAAAATGTGTGTGTATAGAGGGTGGGTAGATACAGAAAGCACCTCTGCTTTGCTTCACTGGAAATTATGAGCTGTTCTGATGAAAGACCACTCCTGCAGACCAACTCCAGTGGTGTCAATCAAGCTAGAGAATCTCACATTTGCACAGTGTGGTCTGGCAGTTCAGAGCACTTCCACACTTGACCCACTTTCTGCTGTGAGCTGACACAGCCAGCATTTTTCCTTCTTCTGTTAGTTTTCCAGATAAAATACGAGATGTGCAGTTAAATTTGAATTTTATACAAACTATTTTTAGTATTAGTAGGCCTCAAATATTGCACTGAGTGTAATTATACTAAAATATTATTGACTGTGCACATGAAATTTAACATCTACTTGGAATCCTGCACTGTCACTTGTTAAAAATGACAAATCGGGGCTAGGATGGTGGCTCAATGGTAGAGTACTTGCCTAGCATGTGTGAGGCACTGGGTTCAATTCTTAGCACCACATTTAAATAAATAAAATAAAGAACCACTGACAACTAAAAAATATTTTTAAAAAAGCAATCTTTAATTTGAACAACAACAAAAAAAAGGATGACAAGTTGGTCTGGGGTTTTGGCTCAGTGATAGAGCATTCACCTAGCATGTGTGAGGCACAGGGTTTGATTCTCAGGACCACATAAAAAAACAAATAAAAAAAAACAAAGGTATTGTGTCCATCTACAACTTAAAAAAAAAAAAGACAAGTCTGTGCCCCACTCCCATTCTTCAGAGGCACAGGGAGTCTAGGAGGCTTATTTGGAATCACCTGTGATACTGTGTCAAGGTCTGGATTGGGATCTGGATCTTTAGACTCGCTATGTTTAATGTTTATTTTACTAAGATAAGTACAGGAGAGAGTACTGCATGCTGTTAGGAACCAGGCTGGGCTACACTTTCCTCACTGAGCTCACCCCCCGCCCCAAATTATCTGTGGCTGCATTTTTCTTGGTGAATGAGGAAGAGCTGGACAGTTGATGATTCCAATTGAGGCTCATTCTGGAACAATGCCATCCCTCCCAAATAGGAGAATTCTCTTTGTGGAAAGACAGTCTATAAATTACACTGAAAGAGCTTTGTTTCTCTGCCCTACTACACAACATGGTCATCGGAAATCTTTGGAAACACCAAGAAATTTACTTACATCTCCTGGGGCCACCACATCATTGCAGAAATAACAGCCAAGTTTGTAACCCGGGATGTTGGCAAAAAGTGATGAGCCCAGGAGGTCAGCAGATGCCACTGAGTGACTGGGACACAGGTCCCCGGCTCCCTGCTGCTTTGGTTTCTTCAGGCCATGTCTCATGACAACAAATGTGTCAAATCCCAAGGCAGCATTGATGACCAGCTGCAGATATCAAGAAATAAGAGAATTAATGGAAACATTTTTTAAACCAGGGCTAATTTCATATTTAGTTAACTTTTATAATTTTTTTTTTGCATAGGAGTATAACTGAACAACCAATGATGTTACAAGCTTCCCAATACTGAGGGTTTATTAAGCATAAGACACTTAAAGAGTGATTATCATTAATTATTTCATTTCATTTAAAACATCCTACAAACATTGTCCAATTTTAGATGAGGATAATGGAAGTCAGAGAGTTTAGTTCTATTACTGGCCCAAGGTCACATAGCTTATAGGCAGAAATGTAAAACAAAGTTCTTGGGTCCATTCTTTGTACCATTATATCACATAGATTTTTTCTTTTTTTTTTTTGGTCCTGGGAATTGAACTTAGGGTTGCTTTACCACTGAACTACATCCTGAATCCTTTTATTTTTTTATTTTGAGAGTTCTGCTAAGTTGCTGAGGGTCTCACTAAGTTGCTGAGGCTATCCTCAAACTTGTGATTCTCCTGCCTCTATCTCCCAAATTGCTGGGATTACAGGTGTATGCCACCACACTTGGCTCCACGTAGATTTTTTTTATAACAGCTTCATGGAGATATAATTCACATTATCATATACTTCATTTACCACATAGATTTTTAAGGACATCTTTTTTTCATTTATACTATAAGAACATTTCTTAATTATAATTTGATGTGCTCTCTCAAATTTCTGATCATATAGAAAGTATGAAAAATACTTTTTTTAGTATGAAAAAAATTATACTAAAAGAAAAAAAAATCACTCAACATACACAGTTCAAACAAGTAAGAGTTTGAAACATTTCTTCTTGCTATCTCCTCTCCCTTTTACTTCCTCCCCAACTTTCCCCTTTCTCTTTCCCATATTTCTTTTCTCTCTTGATAGATGGATGAATGGATGGATAGACATATAGAAATGTTTATATGTATATGTTTATATCTAAACATAATTGATACTAAAATATATACAATATTGTATCTTATTTAACACATCATGATATTTTCCATATTAAAATTCTTTGAAACATAAATGTGAATGGCTGCACGCTATTCCACCATGGGTATTGGATTGTGATTTAGTTCACTATTCTCTACTGATGGCCCTTAAAATCATCACTGACCAAATATTAGTGAAAGTTCCTGCCCTCCTGGAGCTCATATATGAACTCAGGTGTATCATTCCTGCTGGTGTTGAGCACCTCAAAGGACCTTGAGGGAAGGTAAACACTAACAATTATCTTGGGTGATGAAGTGAGCAAAAACAGCATCTGTAGTAAAAGCCCTTTGGCACTGGGCTCTAGGGTTACACATGTCACCCCTCTTTGCTGGAGGGGAGCAAAGGTTGGGGTGGTGGTGCATTAAGTCACAGGGACAAGCACCCCTGGTTCCACACACTACCTTTCTCTTGCTTGCAGCAATGACTGCAGGAAGCCACCGGCTTTCCCTGGTGTCCATCAACAGGAAGATGACATCATGGCTTTCAATGAGCTGCTCCAGCTGCTCTACATCCTTGCGGGCTTGCTCCAGGGTGATGCTGGAGAAGTTCACTGGATGACCTGGCATGGGGATGCTCATGTTGAACCCTCTGGCATTCTAGGGAAACACCCAAATGTATTTATGTCTGAGGCAAAGGTACAGGTGAGCTCTCAAGACCATACTTCCCCACAGCTTCTAGCACATATATGTGGTCACTTAAAACTAGAAATTTCTGTGTACCGTAATACTGCTTTTTCCTTACCCTACCTATGCCTTCCACCTCTTTCACCTCTTAAAAATCAAGACAAGCTGCAAATCTTCCTTGAACCTTTTCTTTCCCCTGATACGGGGGATTGAACCAAGGCCTCACACATGCTAAGCAAGTGCTCTACCACTGAGCCTCAGCCCCAGCCCTCTTGCCTGATTTTAACAGTGAACCACAGGTGAACACTGATGAAGCCAGGGACATTAACTTCTCATAGAAAAGACAGTGTTCTAGAGTCACCAACTGTACCCTTAATCCCCCGCATTCCTCTGGCCACAGGGAAGTGTGTGAAAACATCAACTTTTCTATTCATTTGCCAAAACTCTTCACCCTGAAAAAAACAGTTCAGGGGCAAAGCAAGTAGGTCTTTTTACAAAGGAAAATCTATTTTGTAGATTGAAGATATTTTTTCCTTGTCTTCAACTTGAAGCCTAATCTCTGGAATTAAAGAGAGGGGCAGCAATGATTCCAAAAAGATAGGGGGTGGGGAGTTCCAAGCAAAGCAGGAAAGGATTCTAGGAAGCAAGAGCTTCAGAAAAAGATTCCCAAACAAGTCCATTTAAAAAAAGAGACTGCCATAAAGACCAAGACCTCATTATGAACATGAGATATCACGCATTTACCTTGTACCAATTACTATAATAAAATATTATGAAAGCAACACCTACAGTGCTAATAACAATAATAAGTTAATGGCATATTACAACTGACAAAGCATGTTAAATGGTGGGAGTGTGATCCAAAAAGCTAATGCGTAGGTTTAATGACACCAAGATTGGCACATAATTACACAATACCCATTCTGACCTTCTGAATAACTGATGCTTAGCCCCATAAACTTCACTAATCTAAATAAACTTTTACCGGCTGAAATTTCAGCTGGTAAGCTGACAAAGCAGCCCATTCCTTAGGTTCATACTCCAGAGATTCAACAAACTTAATTCAGAAAGTTTCAACACAGTGGTTTTCCATCTTTGCTGCACAGAATAACTTATGAGGGTTCTAAAMCCCCCCAGCACAGGCTTTTCTCCAGACTGTTAAAATTGGAATCTTTGAGAGTAGATGTAGACATCATTATTTTCTAAAACTCCTCAGATGATTCAAAAGTATAACAAGGGTGAGGTATAATTTATATAAGGTGAAATACCCATATTTCACATGGACAGTTCAACATATTTTGACAAACTGAAGAGTAATCACTGCATACACCTGTCAGGACGTGGAACACTTCAATAACCCATTGAATGCTCTCCTGTGCCCCTCCTTATCCAATATCAACTACCACCATTATTACTATATAAAGACAGCTGAGTTTTGCCTACTCTAGAATCTGAAATAAATGATATCCTAAAAATATACTCACTTATATTTGGCTTTGTTCAAGCAACATAATGCTTCTGAGGTTCATCCATATCGTTAAGCATCAATATTACATTCCTTTTTATTATGTAACTCTACCATATTTTTTCATTCATTCTCTACTTGCTGGCTTGAGTTATTTCCTGATTTGGGCTATTATGAATAAGGTTGCAAAGGGCATTTCTGTATAAGTATTTCAGTGCACATATGTTCTTTCTCTTAGGTAAATTATCGAAAAGTGAAACTGTAATTGTTAGGTGTGCATGTTGAATTTCTTGTGGCTGTTTTACCAGAAAGTATAGAGTGTCTGGTTGCTCCACAGTGTGACATTTAACACTGTCAAATCTTCTTAATTTTAATCATTTTAGTGGTTTATAATGATACAGCTTTTCTTCTGTGTGTGTGTGTGTGTGCGCGCGTGTGTGTGTGTGTATGTGTGCATTCACATGGGTGCTGGGGATTGAAACCAGAACCTCATGTTCATCACTGAGCTACATCCCTAACCTCTACAATAATATGTCTTCATGATCCTATTTTATATTTCCCTAGTGACTATTGATACTGAGCATTTTCATGTGTTCACTGGCCATTCATAGTTCTTCACTGTGAAGTAAGTACCTATCCAAGCCTTTTGTCCCTTAAAAAAAAGGCTGGTTTGAATTTTTATCATCGAGTGGTAATTGTTCATGTATTCTAGGTAGAAATTGTTTGCCAAATATGTACTCTCAGTTTAGCTAGTTATTTCATTCTCTAATTGGGGTCTGTTGAAAAACAGAAGTTTAAATTTTGACAAAACCCAAGTTAACAATTTTTTTTTCATTTATAGCCTGTTTTACTGGGTTCTAAGAAATATTTGACTATCACAAGACCACTGAGCTTTTCTCTAGAAGCTTCACAGTTTTAGCTTTAGTTCTATTTTCCTTCTGGGTTGTCACTTGCAGGCTCAGAGTATTCAATGAGGTCTTTGTACTCTTATAATTGGGGCCCTGTGACTCTCGGCCCTGTGTGACCTCTGTAATCTCTACTAGCTCACAGCCCCCTGATGATGTTTCCTTCCCAGCATCTCAGAGGGGTACCTAAGTATATGCAGCTTAAAAAAAGGGGGGGGGTGGCTCAAGGTGCTGCTGAAGAAGGTGAGGCAGTTTTCTGGAACTTCTTCTCTGTACTTGTATCTGCTACTGCTTCACCAGCTCAGCAAGAACAGAATTATCTTCTTGGGTACCTCAGGCTTGGCACTGAACAGAAAGTTCCACTAGACAATGAACTGGGACAAATGTTCTTGATTTCCTTCTGTGGGGACCCACGATCTTCCACAGCCTATTGTCTAAAAAGAGTCATTCACTGTTTCACATACTTTGCCCGGGAGCACAATTATTTAAGGTGAGAAAGCAAGTCATTATCAGGATGAGAAGCAGTTGTCCAGAGCTGGGTTTTCAAACCTCAAGTGTGAGGCTGAGGGTGTATCTCAGTAGTAGTAGCCTAGCATATGTAAGGCCCTGGTTTTCACCTCCCACCCAAAAAACAAAAACAAAAACCCTTTGGTCTGCTCCTAAAGCCTACATTTTATTGTTTCACCTTTAAAAAATGGTGACATCAAATAATAATTTGATTTACAAAAGACTGTTTTCTTATCCAATTAACCTCAGGATTAGGCACAAGCATCTGCAGTAGAGCAGTTCTTTTAATGTAATTTTATATAGCATTTTAAAGACCCCCTGAAAAGTTCAATGAGACACCAACATCAGAGAGTCAAAGAAAAGGGATTACTTGGCCAGGCATGGTGGTGCACGCCTATAAACCCAGTGGCTTGGGAGGCTGAGACAGGAGGATTGCAAGTTCAAAGCCAGCCTGAGCAATGAAGAAGTGCTAAGTAGCTCAGTGACCCTGTCTCTAAATAAAATACAAAATAAGGCTGGAGATGTGGCTTAATGTTTGAGTGCTCCTGAGTTCAATCCCCAGTAACCACCCCCCCCCCAAAAAAAAAATTACTCAAGGAATCACATGCAGAAAAAAAATAAAGAGATTCTTAAGATCTGGACTTTGAGTTACTTGAGGGTCTGAGGTCAGAAAATGGTTATTTTGGGTCAAAGATATTTTAGCGCAAAAAGTAAAAGTCAGACTTTCTAGTTCTAGGGGAGAATAAATTCAAGGTTCTCCAAGTTAGCCATCCACTGACATCACCCTGTCACCTAGGTCTGTCACCCAGGGGTGGCTGGGGGATGGGTGCTTACAACCTCTTGGGACAATATCACTGCACCTTCCTGTCAGTGTATTATGTCAAAATTAAAATTAAAAAAGACTTATCACCCGTTACTTTTTTTTTCCAAGTCAAATGTTACTAGGCTTCAAGTTCCAAGATTAGAATTTTGCAATAATTGAACAAGTGAGACAATCCTGCATTAACAGAACCAGGATTTCTACCATTTCCAGGTGATTAGATTGCCTGAGAAGTCTGCATTTCATACATCTGCTAACTTCAAAAGCCCACTTCTCTTGCCTGGAATGCCCTTCTAGACCTCTGGCCTCTCCCACCACTTTCTGCTTCTCTCCTACCTCTCTCAAACTGTTCTTTTAATTAATTCCTTCAGAGGTCAGGGCACATGGCACTGCCTGAAGAAAGCATTCTCTAGCCCAGCAAACCTGTACAGGGCCCACTCTTTTGTATTTCATTAACTCAGATTCAAAGCCAAGTCCTCCCTCTACTTATCCTCCTTAATACTTACTATTTTCATTTTAATTTTTAAAATTAATTATTCAGCATATATGTGATCAACTAGAATATAAGCTCTATGAAGATAGGGTCAAGCTGTGTTCATGGAGGCCTGACCTTTTTCTCTATGGCTTGGTGTAAGAAAGGTGATCAATAAAGATATATTGGATGAAAAACGCTATTTTAAATCAAGCGTATGAAGAAAATCTTCTATGGTTAACTAATAAGTCATACAGTTTCACAAGAACTTTTCATGAAGTTGATAAATTATACAAATACTCAGATGAGTTATTATTTATAAGGCACAACAAATAAAAGTCTTGGAAGCTTGGACCCTGGCCTCACCTTAATGCAACAGGGAAAACAGGATAACACAATGTAAGTGCTAAGAAAGAGGCTTGGTTGCTCTGTGTGCTGATTTTCCCAAGAAAAGTTGGACTTGATCTCTAAGGCCCAGCATAATCTGGCCCTTGCTTCTGCCTCAGCCTCCCTTCATCTTCTTTGACATCTAAGCTTCAGCCACCCTGGCTTTCTTTCAGGTCCTCAAAAGCATCACACTCTTTCCTGCCTTAGATTTTTTTCACAGACAGCTCTGCTACCTTAATTTAGCCTACTCCCACTCACCCTTCAGGATTTCATTCCCTGATTCCACGCTCATTCCTTAATCTAGCTCAGGCCAACCTGCCACACATGCTCATGGCAACTGAACTCTTGATTCACACATACACTTATGACAATTATAACTATCTGTGGGGCTGGGATTGTGACTCAGTGGTAGAGTGCTCATTTAGCATATGTGAAACACTGGGTTTGATCCTTAGCACTACATAAAAATAAATAAATAAAATAAATGTATTGTGTCCATCTGCAACTAAAAAATATTGTACATATTTGTGAAATTATTTATTAATGACCATTCCCCTCCCAACCACTAAACTATCATAAACTCCCAGTAGGGCTGGGGGAGGGGGAGAAATGTCCATCATTTCTCTTGTCCCTGCACAAGGTAAGCCTTAAATAAACACCTAATGAATGAGTAACAGAATAACTAAACAAATAAATAGGGAATTGCATGGGCTCATAGACAATGGCTAGAATTTAGGAAAGCAAAAACTCAGGCAACTTACAAGTTGGCAGAACTCACATTCAAAGCCAAGTCCCCATGGTCCCTGAGGGGAGTACCTAATACCTCCCCAGTGATAGACTGGATCATTCTTCCCAACCACGCCCTTGCTCCCTCTAGTAGAATTTCATGTCCAAGCCCTTTGCCACATGACTTTCAGTTCCTCCCATGGAGAAGGCAGAGTCTACCGTCTAACCCATTGACTCTGGGCTTGACCCTGAGACTTGCTTAGGCACTGGAAAGGAAAGGCCCTGCACTGTGCCATGCAGCTGAGCCTATAAGAGGCTGATGACTGCAGATTCTTTTAGGCTTCTACTTTCTACTATAAGAACAGCAGGACTGAGGTGACTATGGCTCTTTAGCCTCTACTGTTTTAACTAGTGCATTATGATCACATGTAACAGTGGGATTTTGTGGTATATTTGTACATGCACGTAACATAATTTGATCAATTTTATTCTCAGTTCCTCCCTTTTTTATCCCCTTCTACTCCTCCTGTCTTGCTTCTTCAATTCTACTGATATTCTTTCTATTTTCATGAGGTCCCTTCTTAAATTTTTTTCTTTCTAGCTTCTAAGTATAAGAGAAAACATATGATTCTTGACTTTCTGAATCTGTTAGCCTCCATTTTTAAATAATGGCACACTTCAGACCAGAAGCTGACTAAAAGTCCTGAATTCAACCTAGTCTAGCAACAGAACCATAAACAACCTGCACAATCATGAACAGGAAATAAATGTTGTTAAATGAGATGTTAGGATTGTGTGATATGTAATACTGTGACAGCAGAGACCTACCTACTATCCTTCCTCAATGACAGGGTTATGACTTATTTTATTTATTTCAGCATCTAGCACATGGCTGGGTACACAGTGGGTACTCAATCAATACTGTTGAATTAAACCCAATAAACGATTCCTCATGGATACTGGTGAAATGAACAAAATGATCAACATGACTTCTAGAGCAAAGACTTCTGAAACAGATGAATCAATACTGAGCAATTAAATGGAGAAACTTTGGAAAGACAGGTTTTTTTGTTTTGTTTGTTTTGTTTTTGTTTTTTTGGTGAGGGCTAGGAGCCTTTCTGGCATCTTAAGTAAAAGTAGATGCTTGGAAGACACCTAATCTGACTCCTGTCAGATAAACTGATTAAGCATTAAGATGCAGAATCTTGGGGCTGGGGTTATGGCTCAGCAGTATAGCACTCTCCTTATGCGTGCAAGGCCTTGGGATTGATCCTCAGCACCACATAAAAAAAATAAATAAATAGAATAAAGTTATTGTGTACAACTTCAAAAAAAAGAATAAATATTAAAAAAAGATGTAGAATCTTAGCTAGATGACCTCAAAAAAAGGAAAAAAAAAAAAAGCTCAAGATTGTGAATCAAATGAGGTGAATGACATCTCTCTTTATCTAATGTTTCTAAAGCCAATGATGTAGCTCAAAAATAAGCAGCAGCTAGAAAAAAGAAAATCCAACTTTTACCCAATTTTTATCCTCCACAGACTTGCATTCAATTTAATTTCATAAACCTATACTAAGTGACTATCAAAGAAGGTCTGGTGATAGGAAAAAAACAATATGCTACATCGGGGCCACCATAAATTCCCTTTAGAACTGCACAGGATATAAAAATATACATACTTCTAAATTCCTCAAATTAAATTTACACAATGCTTTGCAATTTACAAAACATTCATTCATATACTTTTCATTTCATTTTCACCAGAATATATGAGGTCTTTGTTTTGTTCTGTTTTGTACTATAGGAGACTGAACTTGGGGCTTCACACATACTTGGCAAGTGTTCTACCAATGAGCTACATGCCCAGGCCCCTTTATTTTTTATTCTGAGACAGGGTTTCATAAGTTGCTTAGAGCCTCACTAAATTACTGAGGCTAGCCTCGAACATGTAATCCTCCTGCTTCAGCCTCCAGAGTCACTGGGCTTATAGGCATGCACCACTATGCCCAATCTTGATGTATTTTTTAATCTCTAGCTCAGAGATGAGGTAACAGTCTTGGTCACATGATGAGTGCCTGTTAGGGAGTGACATGTATCTGTTTCTCTGTAACTGATACCACAGGTATTCATTCCCCAAGATTTTTAAACATTTATAGATGAAAGGAAAAAACCTGTGATGGTCTCAAAAAGCATCCACTTACCACTCCGGGGAATATTTTCTGGAGCCGGTCAGCTGCAGCTAAAGCCTTTGGTTTACCTCCACCTAGGCAATCTTCGAATTCATAGAGAGGCTGCCTCACAGGATTGGAATAGGAGATCTTGGCATTGTCCACGAATGTGACGTGTCTGACGCCCCAACCCTGCATGGAAACAGATCATGGTGTGTTCCTATGAATATTTCACATGGTGTCTCTCTTAAAATCCTTAGGAGGAGTTTTCCTTTCAAGCAGCTTGGGAATCTCAAAATACAGGAAACTTCAGAAACTGAATTGTACAAGTTCAGTTTTTGATAAACAGAATGTCAACTTTCTTTAAAAGACAAAATAATTACATGCTAAGTACCAGGTTTCCTGCTGTAATGAAACCAAGAAATGTCAGAATGGGTCTAACTAATATTTCATAATTTTTGACAGTGGCACCAGGAAAAAAAAAAAAAACATTTGAAAGTGAAAAACAGTGAATCCCATAAGAACTCTCTATGTTGCTGTTTTAAAAGGATTAGCAAGAGCCCCAAATGTCCTGGGTTTCCTTAAGAATAATTAAGTATAGATAATAACTCCTCTCAAAATTTATTTAAGGCCTGAGTTAACTCCAGAAAAATGATTTACAAGTCATTTCCCACTGTATAATAATGTAGAACATTTCATCCTATTTCACTAAGATTGACAAGCCTTATTCATAATTGGGCATTTAGGGGATGATTTTATGTTCTCATAAATAATTTTAATGATATCATAGACTCTAAATGCATCTCCATAAAGTTTTATAAAACTATACTTAAAAATTTTTCTTAAAACTGAGGATTGAACTCAGGGGCACTTTGCCACTAAGCCACATTCCCCAGCCATTTTTATTTTTTATCTTGAGACAGGGTCTATCTAAGTTGCTTAGGACCTTGCTAAGTTGCTGAGGCAGACTTTGAACTTGTGATTCTCCTGTCTCAGATTCCTGGGTTGCTGAGATTACAGGTGCGCACCACCATGCCTGGCCAAAACTACACAAGTTTAAAGTTGGAGACAATCTCTAAAATCCTTGGTATAATCTGTCTGTTTTACAGATATAAAAACTGAAATGTAAAGAAACATAGAAAAGATAAGTTAGTTGTCTAAACTCATATATCTAGTTAATGATGGGAATGAATGAGATCTCCAGAGTTGCTCCCAAATGAAGATGCCTACTTTCTAGGGGTGAGATGGGTATATTTCAGATCATATATAAGTACAGTCATCCCTCTATATCCAAGGGTTCTGAATCTAGACTCAACTTACTGTGGATGGGAGAAAAATTGCTTCTGTACTGAAAATGTACATATTTTGTTCATGTTATTATTCCAAAGATTACAGTATTATAACAACTATTTATATAATTTTTACACTGCATTAGGTATTCTAAGTAATCTAGAGATGATTTAAGGTATATGAAAGGTTATATGTTAGTTCTATGCAAATACTAAGCCATTTTAATGTAAGAGACTGGAGCATCCTCAGATTTTGATATTCGAGATCATCCTGAAACCAATTACCCTTGGATATTGATGGATGACTGTACTGCAATCTAAGAAGCCTTTTCAACTCAGGACTCTGAACTCAGTTAGACTGACTGTTTCAGGGAGACAGTCATTGAGGACTCAAGACTCACTCCAGGGTTGTGAATGACAGGCTAGAATCCCCTTTTTGTAAGCTTAGTATGGGCTATTTGTTTTGATGCCCACTGGTAACTCTTTGATATACACAACCAGATTCATTAGCTAACCAATCTACTCTGGAGGGAAAGATAAGTAAGAAAAATCCAAAAGTCACTTGTACTTGGTTTGGGATATTTATTTCAGAAGTATTTTCACATTCCTGAGTGAACAGCAGGGAAGATGGTCTGGGAACATGCTAGGTAGTGGGATGAAAGCCAGATAAGCTGCAAACATGCTGTAAACTAGTCACATGCAGATGAATTTTCACACTTAATTTCTGACTTCCTGGAATGCCACATGGTTTAAAGGGCTAATCCTCGAAGATTAAAGACAATTACAACCCTCAGTGTCAGTGAGGATGTGGCAGTGAAAAAAAAATATTACTGATTGAGAATGTTAAACTGGTGTAATTTTTCTGGAAAGTAATTTGGCAATTGTTTCTAGGATCTTAAAAATATTCTTTGACCTATTTCCAGCAATCTATCCTAGGAAATAATCTGAAATACTGCCAAAAGATGCAACTACAAAGATATTCTTCGTAACATAATTTATAATTGTAGAAACCTAGACACACCATTAGTGCCAAATATGAGAGGAATGTCTTAGGAAATTAGAGATGTGATTAAATGTTTTGTCAGGTAAGGAAGTTTATTCTACAATCATTACAAAAGACTAAGAAGTATCATTTTTAATGACAGAGGGAATGTTTACAATGCTAATTCATAAAAGAAAAGGAAATTATTATGTATCAAATTAGACTTGGAAATACATATTAAACAAACCTGAAAGGAAATGAGTAAAAGTGGAAAATGAATACTTTCTTTTCCTGCTTCATAACCTTGACACTTTATAAATTTTCATAATTAATCTATTCTGACCGCAATTTCAAAAAATATTAAGAAAACATAGGCACCTAATAGTTCAAAAACTAACAAAAATACAATAAAATAAATTCCATGAAGAAATTAGCAGAATTAATGTATCCAAAAGCAAAACAAAACATAAAAATTATAGAACTGATACATCAATCAATTATTCAGCTCCAAAAAATGATATTGTTTTACAGATATAAAAACTGAAATGTAAAGAAGCATAGAAAAGATAAGTTAGTTGTCTAAACTCATATATCTAGTTAATCATGGTAATGAATGAGATCTCCAGAGCTGCTCCCAAGTATGGGCTGTTTGAATAAGAGTGGAAAAAAGAGAAAACAAACTTTGGGAATGTGAGAAGATTATAAAGATAGAAAAGATTTAAAAGATAATAAACAACCACATGTACTTGTTGACAATTAATTTTTAAAGTTAGATTAAATGAATGATTTTATAGGAAAATAAATGGACTTAAAAATGATATTGAGGGCTGGGATTATGGCTCAGCATTAGAGCTCTCGCCTAGCACGGGTGAGGCCCTGGGTTCGATCTTCAGCACCACATAAAAATGAATAAATAAATTAAAAATATATAAAAAAGTGATATTGAATCTTTTCCCCCCACATACTTATGGGTGCATTATAATTGTACAGTTTGTGTAATCTGTTGTAAGAGGTTTTTATGAAACGTAAAAATGTCAATCAACACAGATACATGTGTAAAAGTTCCCGAAATTCCCTGCCCCATGCCCACCAATAAAATTACCAAAGATTAACACAACCGGATAGATTCATAAGTGAATTTTTTTTTAAAGAGAGAGTGAGAGAGAGAGGGGGACAGAGAGAGAGAATTTTTTAATATTTATTTATTTTTTCTTAGTTATCGGCGGACACAACATCTTCGTTTGTATGTGGTGCTGAGGATCGAACCCGGGCCGCACGCACGCTAGGCRAGCGCACTACCGCTTGAGCCACATCCCCAGCCCCATAAGTGAATTTTTTAAATCATCAAATAATAGATGATTCATGCATTAAAACTCTTCTGAGGCATAGAAAAGGGCAGCAAATTTTAAGTTTACTTTTGAAAGTTAGCATAACCCAGCTATAAAACATACAAAGACACCCCATGGAAAAACATTACTAAAGAACAACTTGATTTATGAATACAGAGGTAAACTTATAAATAAATAAAACATTATTGATTAAATGACAATGTATAAAAAGAATGCACAAGTAGGGTTTATCCTAAAACTGCTCAACACTTAAAATAACTTGACTATCTAGATAAGACATATTCAATAAAGCTCAACATTCATTTCTGATATAAACTAGCAGAAATAGAAATCACCTTCCTTAACTTACAAAAAAAGTTTAGCAGGAACTAATACCAAATATCAAAATTAAAAGTAAAAGCATTCACATTAAAGTTGGTAACAAAACAAAAATGTCAACCCTTCCTCCTATTCTCCAACATTACTATGAAGTCCTAGACATTCTTACAAGACAGAAAAAAAACAAAACACAGATATAAATGTCGGTAAGGGATACTTCTAATCTATAAAATTAAAAAGATTCAAATAAAAAACTACTAGAACTAACACAGCTTAGAAAGATGACAAGATGAAGATAAACATGCAAAACTCACTATCTTGCCTATATCCTAGTAATAGCAGATTGGAAATGTAATGGAAGAAAAATCTCTCTAAAAGAAAAAAAAAAAAATATGGGGCTGTGGCTGTGGCTCAGCGGTGGCGCACTTGCCTGACATGTGTGGGGCACTGGGTTCAATTCTCAGCACCACATATAAATAAATAAAATAAAGGTCTATCAACAACTAAAAAAAAGAAAAATAAATAAATAAATTGTCAGATATGCAGAAGTAAAATAAATAAAGAAAATGCAAGGTCTTTATTTAAAAATGCTACTGAAAGACAAGTATAATCTAAATAAATTAAGAGCTACCCTTGCTCTGGAACTAAAGATAAATACTGTAACAATGTCAACCTCTTCCAATTACCTACAAATTCACTGTCATTTCAATTAAAAAGCTGAGTATCAATACAATTTTACCGGGTAAAACAGAGAATCCAAAAAGGAACATAGATATAAAAAGGGGATTGCATTTGGTAGAGGTAGAAAAATTAAGATTTCGCTTATTAAGTAAATGCCACTAAAACAACTGATTATTCATTTTGCAGAAAAGAAGTTGGGACTTTACCTCTCATCATACACACACACACATACACACACACACAAACATAAAATTTCATGTCACTAAAGACTTAACCACAAAAACAAGGTTCCATAAAAGACTATAAATTTAATAACATAAAATTAAAAAAAACTTCTTATAGATAAAGATATCTTGTCAATAAAGAAATACAGGAGCTGGGGTTGTAGCTCAGTGGTTGAGTGCTTGCCTCAAATGGGTGAGGCACTGGGTTAGATCATCGGTACCACATTAAAAAATAAATAAATAAAGCAAAGATATTGTGTCCATCTACAACTAAAAAAATTTTTCAAAAAATTTTAAAGAAATACAACCCAAAGGACAAGAATGAAAGAAAAAAGTTCTCAAAATAAATAAAGGCCTATACACCCTAATTAATAAAAATGTAAATTAAAATAATAAAATGTTACCTTTTAACTGCCTGGGTTGAAAAAGACAAAAAGTTGTACTATCCAGTTTTGACAAGAGTATAGAAAAAAGCTATCTCTCATGAGTTCACAAGAGTACAAACTAGTATGATGTTATTGGAAGGTAATTTAGTTTGAATATATATATATATTAGAGAGAGAGAGAGAAATGTGTGTGAGAGTACATTTCTAATGTAAAATAATTCTACTTCTAAGCCAGGCACAAAAGTGCCCACCTATAATTCCAACAATTTGAGAAGCTGAGGCAAGAGGATCTCAAGTTCAAGGCCAGCCTCAGACCTTAACAAAACCCTCAGTAACTTAACAAGACTCTATCTCCAAATAAGAATAAAAAGGGTTGCAGAGGGGCAGTGGTTGTGGCTCAGTGGCAGAGCTCTTGCCTAGCACGTGTAAGGCACTGGGTTCAAACCTCAGCACAGCATAAAAATCAATAAATAAATAAAATAAAGGTATTGTGTCCAACTACAACTATAAATAAATAAATAAATAAAAATAAAAAGGGCTGGAACATAGCTCAGTGCCCCTGGATTCAATCCTTAGTACCAACCAACCAACCAACAAAAACCCTACTTTTAGGACTTTTTCTTAAAGAAAAGACTCCATGGATATATAAGCAAAAGAATGTATATTCCAACAGACTTTCTAATGGAAAAGAATGGAAAATAACCTGAAGTCAATTATATGAATTAAAGACATAGTCATACAACAAAACACCACTTTTTATGGTATGAAAAACATAGAAAGGTAATCACAATAATTTATTATTTTTCTATTAAGTTAAAAATAAAAACTTTGTATAGATAGTATGCTATGATCCATTTGTTGAAAATATAAATAAATAGCTAAATAATGTCGAAGATGACAAAGGACTCTCTATATTTATATATGTCCAGGAAGTCTCTTAATTCTGAGAAATGGAACTGGGGATGGGGGTGGTGGGAGACATTCTGTTTCTATCTTATAATAAAGATATATATTCTTTTTATAATTACAAAGATGCTGAGAAAAGAAAAAAGGAGAGGAGGGTAAAGTGGGCGAGGGAAGGCAATCAGAGACCACAAAATAAAGGAGAAGCCATAACTTCAAGGGCCCCATTCAGCCCCTGAAACTCACCATCAATGTCCTAGCTACATTACAACCCAAGGTACCGGCTCCAAGCAGCAGACATTTGACAGATACAACCTTCTCCAGGTCCAGAGTAGGAACCAACCTCCAACACATCAATTTAAGATTTAGATCCACAGAAGACTCAGCTAACCTAGAAAATCAGAGATTTAGGGTTTTAGTCATTTAATTTATTTGTGCCCCAATCTTGTCCTCAGAGATATAAAGTCACTGTGCCTCTTTGTGCAGACGGATCACAGACCAGATGTAAATAAGCAGGAAAGGGGAAGCAAAGAAAAATTAAGATGTAGCTTGAGGATAAAAGTGTTCCATATGTATACATGTCATTGAAGTTCTCTGCCCTTGTTAGTTGTGGGCTACAAATTTGGTAGTGAGCTCCTAACAGCCAAGGTGAAAATGAAAACACAACCAACTACAAGTCAGGTCCATGAATAAATGCACACCAAAAACCTCAGAGAAATGTTCTTCCTGGTATTAAAGACAGAAATTTCTTCTATTTCTTCTTAATAATGAGTACACTTACATTCCCCCTTAAATAGGATACTAGCTTCCATTAAATATTGTTTTTATGTCTTTCAATGGAGGCTAATAGGACAAAAGTAAAAAGCAATGAATAAAGGTAGTAGTATCATTGTGGTAATTCTCATAACCAAACTTAAATTAAGCAGTAGATTTCAAAGAGCAGAACAATACTTAGCAGTATGCACAGCATACCCTGGACTGAATTATGCAATGCAGTATCAACCTAACATAACCTGTTCTGCATGCTGGTTATGAAAACCCCAGTGGCAAAAAGAACATCCAAAACGTGTATACCTTTTGGGATCCATACATTCACTAAGGTTCACCATTCTCGGTCCCATGCCTCCTTTCTGGTTTTTTTCCCATCCGACTGCTTTAGGACAATCTTCAAGCAAACAAAACACAAGTTTAACAAAGAAAGGAAGAATAAAAATAAGTCAAGCAGCAAACATGTTTTTTTTTTTAAAAGATCAACATTTACAATGGCATTGATAAACTTTTAGTTCACTTCTTTCTCAGAGAGCTCCGAGAGCTTGCAATTTCCATCTACTTGCTCCAGTTACCTCTCCCACCTTCCTGAGCTATTAGGGTTCTTCTTTAGAGACCATTAGACCCAAGTACGGTGTTCCTGGGCAGGGGCTTGTGAAACAGTCCTCAAACCTGGCCCAAGGAGCCTCTACTTCTTTTGTTCCTAAAAATTGCTCAAAAAAGACAATCATATTTGGGTAGGTATAATTCTGTGGAAGACACTCTCCTTAAACAGGGCAACCTAATTAGCTCAGCATACATTCCACTGAAGTTCCCATAGGGATTCGGACCTCTAAGTCAGCATGTCCCTTCTGTTCCTCAACCTTACCCTGTCCCACTGCTCAGTCTCAACTTTCACTGTGCCTCTTTGTGCAGACAAATCACAGACCCAGGTGACTGTTCCTCTTTTAAGCTGCCCTCTCCTGCTACAGGGGTCCCTGTAACACCAATTGCAGTGGTTCCAAAAGTATGCCTTATTCACTGTTAAACAGAGTTGGTTAATACTTCCATATTAACATCTATATCAATATCCAGTTCCTTAATACCAGCTAAACTTGGAGATTCACAATTGCACATGAGGCAGATAAATGCTCAGAGAGGCCTAAGGTAAAAAGACCACTTTGACTTGATGTTTTGTTTTTCAATCATGTACAGCATTTTGAATCTCTTTCCATTATCCCTTATACACCAAATAAAATCTCATGGATGTAGCTCAGTAGTGGAGTACTTCCTTTGCATGTGCAAGGCTTTGGGTTCCATCCCCAGCACCACTACAAAAAAAAAAAAAAAGAAAGAAAGAAAGAAAAGAAAAAGAAAAAAAAATCCCATGATACAACACATTCAGGGAAGTGCTGCTTGATTCTATTGTTGCAAAAGTCTCTTACATTTTCTTATGTTAGATTTCTATCAGCACTTCCATTTTCCTTTCCTTGGGAAACTCTTTAGCCCTTATTTTTTAAATAGTATTGCTCAATATAATTATGAGATCAGGAAGATGTTGATTCCTTTGACATATCTTTTGTTTCTGAGCTGGTATGAGCAAGGGGAAGCCAGGGCCGATTATCCTTGAAAAACTACTTGGGCACCAATCAGCCTGGGGTATCATTCACAGCAAGAAGCCACAAAACACATGTGACTTCAAATTTTTAACTCAGGTACTCTGATGGAGTCCTTTTTTTTTTTTTAATGCTATGAAAAAGTAAAGCTAAAATAATCTATTCAAATTCTTTTTTTTTAAAGAGAGAGAGAGAGAGAGAGAGAGAGAGAGAGAGAGAGAGAGAGAGAGAATTTTTAATATTTATTTTTTAGTTCTCGGCGGACACAACATCTTTGTTGGTATGTGGTGCTGAGGATTTAACCCTGGCTGCACGTATGCCAGGCGAGCGCACTACCGCTTGAGCCACATCCCCAGCCCCAATATTCAAATTCTTAAGGAGATGAAGATATCAGGATTCTTTTCTAGGGAAAAATAGTTCTCATCTTCTAATTCATATTTTACTATGTATTAGTTAACTAATCTTAAATATTCTCATGTTAAAATTTTAAAAATGCTCCTCTAATGCATAGCACAAGAATCTGACAAGATCTACAAGAACCACACTGTAGTACTGTAACTGATATCAGCCTTGTTTTCTCTTTACTGATAAGACATTTTAAGACAAAAAACAAATATCTCTTCAAGTTAAACCATCTACACACTCAAAAGGCTATAGCCATTTCTAATTTAAAACGATTAACAATGAAAAAAGTTATATAAACCCACCCTGCCCTTGTACTCGGGGCAGGGGGTGCTACAGAAGAAATCCATCAGGAAAGATGGGCAGACTGCTCAGTCACTGAGGGGTCCCCTCACTTCTTCCATATTCCACTGAAGAGAACACTCTCTCCCATAGATGTAGGGGCACACTCTGTGTTCCCAAGGTCATGCATGGACCCGCAGGCTGCTCTGAGGTTCAGCTGACCATTAATGACCTTCTGCTAGTGGCACTGGGCCGGAAAAGGCAAAGTGAGGCAAGTAGGCAGGTACAAGCCTTCAGTGTTCACCGAACACAGGCCAAAGCCTGCCCCCAAATGGGTAGCAGAGCTTAGGCAGGGACCCAAAGAGGCATGGCTGCCTGCCACTCCAAGGTTTTGTGCCACTGAAAACTCCCACCCCCTAGTCTAACAAAAGCCCAATGCCTAAACATTTTTATGCATTTCAGTCCCTAGCTGATCTGCCCACTCCTGTCTCTGGGATGCATATTCTTTTCTCTTGCCTTTTCCTCACCTTGCAATAAACCTACTCTAATTACCATCTCTGCCTTGCTATACTCCTGTTTCTATGACAAGATAATTGCCCTGATCTTAGGCATTATACCCAAGAACCATGGATCAATCCACTGTGGACTCTCACACACTTGTAACCTACCCATAAGACACACCCCAAGGCTGAGGGTGTAACTCAGTGATAGAACACCCTAGGTTCCATCCCCACCACTGAAAAAAGACACACCCCAAATTAATGAGATAATGTCTTTACGGGAAATGAGATGTTCTTTTCCCACAATTAGAATCAGGAAGAGCACAAGAAAGGCAGGAGCTAACAAGGGGGGCTCTCATCCCACCTCAGCAGTGCCTGCTCCCTTCTTTAGCCAGTTGCCAGAACACTGTATTAGCTATGGAGAGCATAGGCTGCATCATGGGGGTGCAAAAAGAGATTCAGGATATTTAAAATAATATTTCTTTTACCACTACAACTATAGTATATCTTGGAAATACGATCACGTGTCACCTAACAGTGGGAGCATGATCTGAGAAAAGGTCATCAGCTGATTTCATCATTGTGTAAATATCAGAGTGTACTTACCAAATGAAGACTAGGACTTTGTCTTGCTATATACCCTGCTATATAATCTTATGGGACTACCATGGTCTGCTGTTGACAAAAACGTCACTATATGGCACATGACTATACTAATGAGTACTATGAATACATGGAATTCACATTATGCTATAGAATAAGATTTTTTTTTTTGGTTTTGCTTATTATAAAGTTTTCCCTTTTTTTGCTGTGGTACTGGTATATTATGAAGTTTCATTTGTAGCTAAGAAGAAAATCATTAATTTACATGAAAAACAGAAGAAAAACTACCTTTCCTAAACTAAATAATCTACTTTCAATTCTGAGCAGAAGGAAGGTGTATTGAAGGTGTTACTGGATAAGAAACTTTTTTCATATGAAAGTGTGCAACAGTTTCTGAGTTTGAAATCAGCAGCATAACAGAAAAAGGGCAGTTCAGAATAACTCAGTGACTTAAAATGGAAAGTGCCTCACTACAGAATGGGGGTCAGCACTACCTGAGGGGCATGTAGGAGGCGCCTAGTGGCCTGCCAGGGACAGAGACCAGTCACATTTACATCTCAGTTAACTCTCACCTCAGTCTCTCTAAACTATCTTTAAGTTGTGGTTTAATAAAACAAACACAGGGAAGCTATTTTAGAATATGCCAGAAGAGGGTGCTAAATCCAATGCAAATCTCTAAAGACTGCAGAAAGGCTGCAGATTTCTTAAGGCTCTAGACTAAAAAGCAAAACAGCTTTCTCCTTTAACTGACGATGGAGAGAACTCTGTCCATGTTTCCACATTTCTATTTAAGACATCAGTGCCAGAGCACAGAATCACTGATAAAATGTCATCAGAGCCAATCCTGAGTCCTTTTGACTTTTGCATTCTAGAAAAGATGTCTCAGAAGAGATGAGGTATCTTTAACATTCCCCCAACATACACACACAAGTTAAGGCACACCCATGGATTCAAGAAAGAAATGTGCCTTGGAACCTTGGGGAGGGTATTAAGAAATTAATTAAATGACATATGTGAAGGTGTTCTGCAAAGTATATAAGTGACATAGACATGAGGGATTACTCTGAAAAGAGGTATACACAGTGCTGGTATAATAGTGAGATAGGAAATTAACATAATATTGATTAAGCATAATTCACACAATATTGATTAACATATAGTGTATGCCAGTCATTGTGCTGGTTTTTACACAGGGCATAGATTCCTCATAATAAATATACCCTAAGGTAGGCATTATTACTCTTTTTTTTAACATTTATTTTTTGGAAGTAGTTGGACACAATACCTTTATTTTGTTTATTTATTTTTAGTGGTGCTGAGGATCGAACCAGGGGCCTCGCACATTCTAGACAAATGCTCTACCGAATGCTCTACTGCTGAGCCACAATCCCAGCCCTGCATTATTACTCTTATTTTACTCAAATTTGAGAATGAATTCTACTTCTATGACATATAAAATATATAAATACAAATGTGTATATCTATATACATTTATATATACACACGTTTTTCTATATAAAATGTCAATGTCAATTTCCTAATTTATAAAACAAGGATAATAGCTAACGTCTGTCACACAGGATCAAATAAAGACATTAAGTGTGGAAGGATAAATGGCACTTCTGCTGACTGGTTTACTCTGTGGAGAATAGGATCACACACAACATTAAGAATATAACAAATAAATATGTAAGTGTACCAATACTTCATCCTTCCTCTAAGAAGGGACAGGAATAAAGATTTGGGGATAAGCAAAAATAAAAACGAATGCGGGGGGGGGGGGGCGGGAATCCTAAAGACTTGAAAAACTATCTGGAGAAAATGTCCTGGTGCCAATCTCTGCCTTTGTTTTGGGCTGAATAGCAGAGTGTGCCCTCTTCCAAGAAGGTGTACACCCCAGGGGTGAGGTAATAGTTGTACATTTCTCTCCCTTCTACTCCCATTGTGAAGGGATGAAAAGAAAGTGAACCAGTTTCAGTTTCTGATAAATGATAATTAGATGCATTCTCAAAGACCGGCAAATTACCTGGGCTAAATGCCATTTCTGGAAGCTTCACTTCAAAGATGATGCTGTGGGCAATGTCTCTCGCCCCCTGCATGGTGCGGTCACGGAAGCAAAGGACTTCAACAGACTGGAAACTGCTACTCCTGTTTTCATGTCCGGATTTTCATTTATTTTATTTTATTATTATTTTTTGGTTAAGGAAGGAAAAGAAAGAGACCACATAAGAATTTCAGCAAACCAGCTGCAGGCAATTTAATGTACTATAATTATTCCTCTCTGACACCCTTAGGGGTATGGCCTTAACTTTCCGAGAGACTTGAACATAATTCATATAGGCATCTTTTGTCCAAGTGTTTGGAGGCAGAATGTTGAATTGGCTGTGATTTCTTTCTGAGTGAATTTTATATGTCGATCACAATGCGGAGAAATAATTTGGACAAATGAAGCTTTTAAATGCAGGAGTAAAGTGCTCCCGAGACATTGGGGGTGGGGGGGAAGCACTCGTAAGGCATGGCTTCTTTAGCTTGAACCCCATTTGAATCCCACTTCATGAAACAGTTAAGTGTATTCAGTTAGTTATGTAGTAAGGAAGCCCATAACTAACTGAATACACTTAACCTCTGAATAAGTAGACAGATAACTAGTCTCCTTCTGGGGACAGTCTATAATTTATCTATCTTTGCATTTATTTTTATTTTACTTTTTTGGTACTGGGGATTGAACTCAGGAGTATTCAATGACTGAGCCACATCCTCAGCCCTTTTTTTGTATTTAATTTAGAGACAGGGTTTCACTGAGTTGCTTAGGGCCTCACTAAGTTGCTAAGGCTGGCTTTGAACTTTCGATTTCCCCTGCTTCCCCAGCCTCTGGGATTACAAGCATGTGCCACCATGCCTGGCCTATCCTTGAATTTTTAAGTAAACACTTTTACTTAAGTAAAGTAGACACAAAGAAAAGTGCACAAATCCTAAGTGTGAAAAGCCTGCCTCATGCCTCATCTCAGTTGTCACCCATCCCATCCAAAATAATTACCTCTCCACCTTCTAAGTCCTCCCCTTGGTTGTGCATATTCTGAACTTTACATAAATGGAATCATACACCATGTGTTCTTTCAGATTCAGCTTATTTTGTCCAGCAGTGTGCTTTGTAAATCCATCCATGTTGATGCATACATAAGCAGTTCAGGCAGATTCAATGCAGCAGAGCACCCCATTGTGAGGAAGACACTACAATTTATTATCCATTTCACTGTTGAAGGACACTGGGTTTATTCCCAGTTTGGGGTTATTAGGAATAATGCTGCCATAAACATTCTTGTATGTGTTTTGCTTTATCTATGTCTGCATTTCTGTGCAGAACATACTGACAGTGCAATTGCTGAGCCATAGATATTTTTAACTTTGGAAGATTCTGCCATTTTTTTGCAGCAGCTTTTGAAACTGCTCTATACTTTCAAATCCACTTGATACAGTCACTTTTGTTAAGTCATTTTGGTGGATTATATGGAAGTCTCTCATTACAGTTTTAATGTTATTTGATTTTATATTTTTGGAAATGGGGATTGAACCCAAGGGCACTTTACCATTGAGCCATATCCCCTGCCCTTTTTATTTCTTATTTTGAGACAGGGTCTCTCTGTGTTGCTTAGGACCTCACTACATTGCTGAGGCTGACCTCAAACTTGTGATCACCCTGCCTCAGCCTCCTGAGTCACTGGGAATACAGTTAAGTACCACTATGCCCAGTTTAATGTTATTTTCTTAATGATTAATGAAGTTGAGCATCTGTTCAAATATAGACTGGCCTTTAAGATACCCTCTTTTTAAATTATCTTAGTAATAGGAAAAAAAAAAGAAGTATGATCACAACAGGAAAATCTTACTCGAAAGCAACCTACTTGACAGCTAAAAGGGAGGGCTAGAGAATTTCAGTATCAGGAATTCAGACTATCTGCCCTTCTGTGGCCTAAAATATCTTTAGTATGAACTGAGGCTGCAGCTCCCTAGCAGACCCACTTAAGACCTTCCCGATGACAGAAACTGGATCATAACCGATTTATTGATATACTTTCTAGTTTCCATGTCAGTAATTTTTTAAAAATTGCATTTGGGGAAAAAGAGATACAGACATAGCCAGATACATTGCAAAATATATAGACAAAGACATGTAGACACACAGACACATGCACACACAAATACACACACACACACACACACACACACACATATACACACACTTGTAAATACCATCTGTGTGCTGCTAGGACCAAAAAATTCCTCAAAGGCCATCCAGGGTACTGGGCTAAGTTACAGGGATCATATACACCAACTGTTATCTGTGAACAGAAAAGACTTTCTGAGTTTGTCAAGTTTCAAGTCACTTTTATAATACAGACACAGACAGTATTCTGTCCTACTTTTTAAAGGCTGTTCTGAAAAGCACTGAAAATTAAATTCTTGATGGAAGGGTACAGAAAAAGAGAAACAAAAGGATTTCACACTTGACCACAGAACTTCTTGATGGCAGGAACTGTCACATTCTTCTCTGTATCCTTATACCTGGCAGTAGACATAGAAGAGAGCAAGAACTAGGTACATTAGGAAGGAAGGAAGGAAGGAAGGCTGGCTGGCTGGAAGGAAGATGGGAGGGAGGGAGGGCAGTCAACTGTCAAGAGCTTATACAAAGAAAATTCTCTTTTCAAAAAAATCAGCCTCTGGGCTGGGGATATAGCTCAGTTGGTAGAGTGACTGCCTCAGATGCACAAGGCCCTGGGTTCAATACTCAGCCCCATACACACACACACACACAAAAAAAAAAATCAGTCTGTGAAAATGGCTCATTAGTATGTCATTAGAAAAACCAAAAAAGGGCTACTACCATTGTAAATCTGTAGTCAGTTCAAATCAAAATGCCAGATGTCCTGATATTGTGAACATACATGTCCTCCCACATCTTCCCTCTTTCCCTCCACTGACCTAAGTCTTTATCTGGAAAACTCTATTCAACTCCAAATACCATTTTTTCAGTGAGGACTTCCCTTGGTAGGAGTCATTCTGTCCCTTCGGCTTCCATCAATCTTTGCACCTCATATGTATAATCGTTTCACTTTCTCCATGTCCTTCCTCCCAAAGACAGTGAGCACCTAGCACTCAGATCTTGATTTTTACATACCATTCTCCAATAAAAGGAATCAGGGTTTCCTTGGGAGGAGCATGACTACTTCTAGGGTTGGGCAGGGAAAATACAAGATGAGCCTGGAGCATCTTGTAGTGCCAGAAAACTAAGGAAGTGCTAAAAAAACAAAACAAAACAAAAAAACCAACAACAACAGAAAGATGGGGAAAATCAGGACACAGGCACCAGCTCAAAGAGCTCTAGCTGGCCAAGGCTGTTTCCCAATTTGGGAAACAAAATAATAATGTGGTATTGGATTATACACACCCACACTGATATAAATAATGGAAAGAAGGTCAAGGAGCAACATCCTTGAAGACTTCCAAATAATATATTTATATATTATCCTCTTTGGTCAGGTGGATGGATGGAAGTGACTCACTTCCAAAGAAAACATGGTGACTTTACAATGGAGAAACATGGCAAATTATTACCTTAACCAAGTAATCAATTTAATGTTACCAAGGATGTCATGTGGTGATCCTGACGGGATGTGATAACAAGGATATCTCATTTCAATGCTGTTCCTTCTTCTAAAATCCCATCACAATGGTATAATCACAAAAGAATACAGACAGAACCAAAGGAAGTGACATTCTACAAAAATAGCTAACCACTCTTACTCAAAACTGTCAAGGTCATTAAATGCAAAGTCAGAGAGACGATTATAGACCAGAGGAGACTAAGAAGACGTGACCACAAAATACAACGTGGTATCCTGGAACAAAAAGAGGATGTTATTAAAAATACTGGTGGAATCTGAATAAAGTACAGAGTTGAGTTAATAGTACTGTGCTAGTGTTGTCTTTTCAGTTTTGGTAAATATACCATGGTAATGGAAGGTAACAACCTTAAGAAAAACCAAAACTGGGTGAAGGCATATTATGAGAACTCTCTGTGCTGTGTTTGCTACTACTTTCTATAATCTATAATAATTCCAAGAAAGTCTTAATAATTTTTAAATATTTTTTTAGTTGTAGATGAACATAATACCTTTATTTTATTCATCTATTTTTATGTGGTGCTGAGGATTGAACCAAGTGCCTCACATGTGCTAGGCAAGCGCTCTATCAGTGAGCCACAACTCCAGTCCAAAAGCTTAACTTTAAGAGAAAAGAGAAAAGAGGACAGCGAGAGTCTAGAGAACAGAGGGTATCTTTTTCATCTTCCATGACCAGGTGATAGACATACAACAGGCACTTGGTAAATGTTTGCTGGGTGATAAAAAGATGGATGGATGGATGGATATAATCAGGTGGGTGCATAGTTAGAAGGAGGGTGGGAATAAACTCATGGCTGATAAGTTTTTATTTATGAGCTATTCCACTTAGTGCTCTATAAGGATGGAATCATCCCAGATACTTCCATTTATTTCCCGAAATAATCAGTATAGTGTCGGCCACAAAGGAGAAGCTAATGCAATATTCATACTAGGAAAAAAAGAGAAAGAATGAATACCCACAACCCCACTATATTAACATTGACTAAGAGAACCACTATTAACATCTTGTTGTACAACCAACCATAGCATTAATGTTGTTCTAGAACCATTGTTAGTAGTGATGAAATGGCGTTCCCTTGTATTGTGAACCAAACTTTTTCGTATTTCCTACTGGATGGATGGAAGTGACTCAAAAGTCTGCATCTGTACTCAGTAAGTCTTGGAAAAGGGATTTTAGTGTGTGTGTGTGTGTGTGTGTGTGTGTGTGTGTGTGTGTTGCCAGGGATTGAACCTAAGGCCTTGTGGGTGCTAGATGAGTGCTCTACCACTGAGCTACATTCCCAGCCCTTTACTGTTGTCTTATCACATACTTACTGCATTATTTTTAAGATGTTCTTTAAAAACATTTGCTACCTTCTCCATTACATAAAACTTTCTTATTCCTAACACTGAAGACTTTTCTGTCCAGAAGCATCTTTTAGTCTTAAGCACAAACAGATTCATATTTAACACAAACAAGTTCATATCTATGGTCTTCTTTTCAGGAAATTCAGGATATTTTTATTTGACATTCCCTGGAGATAAAATATCATCAGCATCTAGGAAACTTTTAAAAATAGACTTGCCAAGACTATGCTGAATGCTGACTCTCAATACATGAATGGCCTAGCATTCAAACTTTCCAGACCTCTGTTTTTCTATCTGAATTATGGAGAAAATAATAGCACCAACTTCATTGGACTGTATTGGGGATTAAACAAGATTTCACTGAACATGAAAAGCCCAGCACATGCGCAGTGCCACTAATAGCACTATGAGTGACACAACCTCCAGTGGCCAGCTCAGCAACATGTATCTGCATTGAGTTCCTGAGCAATGGATACAACTTGTCCAGTCCATAGAACTGAATTTGGGAATCATTAGAGGGTGATCTTGTAGACAAAAGGAAAAAAAAATCCCTAGAGCTATTTTTCATTGCCTTGAAAACCCTGAATTGAGTGTATGGCTTCCCATGCTCACGGACCCATGCACCAGCAGTGGGAGCATCCCTTGGGAGGCTACTGGAAATGCAGAATCTCAGACCAACTGATCTGAGCCTGCATTTCAGTAGGAACCTAGGTGATTCTTATGAACACCCAAGTTTCAGAAACACCGCTCCATTACTCAACCCTCTTAGATCTGTGGTTCTCTACTTTGAATGTGCTTAGGTATCAGAAGAGGGGTATTTAAAGAATACTACTGTCTAGTCCCCACCTCCAGAGGTTCTGATGAGTCAGACTGGAATCTCACTTGAGCATTTGTTTTTGTTTTTGGTGCTGGGGGTGGAATCCAGGGCTTCACACACACTCCACCACTGAGCTACACACCCTCAGCCCCAGTTGTTTTTAAAAGATCCTCAGGGGATGCTAAGGTACAGCCAGAATGCAAACCATGCTTAATGGTCTGCAGCAGAGTTTCTCTAAGTTTGGACCACAAATGACCACCTGCACCAGAATTTCCTGGAAGCTCGATGAACTTGCACCCACCCTCCAAATAGGATCCCACACTATTCTAAGCACCACTACCTCCACGTTCAGTGAAAACTCCATGGGATTCTCATGCACACTATCACTTCAGCACTAGTCACCCAGGATCTAAGAAGGAAAAAATGAGCACTTGCTTAAGGCAGGTTTCACTGTACCCTACATTGTTCCTTATTATAACTGTGACTATTTGTTAGACCCCTATGATTTCTTGATTCAAAGGCACCAAACATTGTAAAGTGCACCTTCAAATTGGACATGGAAGAAAGGAGTAAACAATATCATACTAACAGTCATACCTGACCATTACCAGAAATTCCTGGTTTTAGAAGAATTAAAACATGATGGAAAGAACATCTGAGAATGGAGAAATATGGGATGCCTTCACATGGAATCCTTTTGCTGGTCTAGGAGCTCAGTAAGGGCAGGGGCAACGTCTGTCATATTCATTTTTCCATCCCAGTTCTGTCATTTGCTGAACAGATGACAGAACTGGTTCATTTCTCCAGACCTCAATATATGAAGACTGCCTGTCCCTAATACCTTAGGCAGAGGTCCTGGAGACAGCTAGAGGGGGAAAGATGAGATCTGGGTGACATAGACCTGAAGTTTATATAAAAACCATGATGCAGTATCTTGCAAGCTCCTTTCCTATCATTACAGATTCTCCACTCAATATTTTTTGTTGTTTCTGTTTTGTGGTACTGAGGATTGAATCTAGGGGCACCGAGCTACATCCTGAGGCCTTTTTATTTTGGAACAGGGTCTTGCTGAGTTGCTGAGGCTGGCCTCAAACTTGTGATCTTACTGCCTCAACCTCCCACATTGCTGGGATTACAGGTGTGCACCAATGCTCCTGGCTTAATGTTGTTTTAATACTAGGATTCTCTTGGGTGACAGTATAGTCTAAATGAGTGTTTCCTGTGACAAGCATGAGAACTCCAAGGATGTGCTCTCCACCCAGAATTTCCTTCGAATTGAGAAGCTGTCTTCCTTGAGTTCTTCTAGTCTGGCTGGCTGCCACCTGCCACTCTTCCACTGGGGATACCTTTTTATTATGTTCCCATCTGGAGATGATGACAGATAACATATGCCAGACAAACTACATATACTAGGTCATCACTGCTTCAACTTCACATTTTTATTTATTCATCAAAAGCATTTACAAGCTGGGTGTGGTGGCACACACACCTTAAT